CCCCCCACCCGTTCTCTTGCGCGGGTATTAAGATTTCGAGCAGCTGGGAAAACTTTTTCTTTTAACCCTGCTGCCCGGGCACGCCACGCTGCGTAGCCTGTTTGAGCATATTGTAGTCTGCTTCAAGTCGAGGAGGAGCGCGCGCCCGCTGCGCCAGCGCTGGTGCGCGGTGAGCCGATGCCTGCTCGCGATGGTCCTCGCGCTCGCCTAGCTGGTCGCCTGAGCAGCAGCGGCGCAGCCTTGGGCTTGTTAGTGAACTTGTTGAAGGCGCCCAGGACGCCCAGACTATACTGGCTTGCCGTCTTGGCTGCAGTCGCTAAAGAAAAAACGAGGGGAGGGGGGGGGGCTTTGCACGAAAGAGGCGTGCTGAGCAGGCACAAAGGCCGAGTTGTTTTGCGGGTCAGTGAGGTATCAGCAGTAAGGTCATAAAGGCTGAAAGTGGTAACCATCAGGGAATAGTTAGTGTATCCTTTTGAGTACTGTGTGTCTCCCCTATCAGTATGTATGTTGATGAAGCGTTTTACGTTTACTGTTTACAATTTGGTGCGGAATTCTATTACAACGCTCAACGTTGTTTGAACTCTGATTAATAAATTTGCACGGTTTAACGATTCCAGACGCTGTTTTGGTGCAGGCGCCCCCATTGCCCACTCCTACGCCCACCCGGTCGATCGCACGAATTGCTGCTGCTCCTGATGGTAATAATTCTGTTACATTTCTTCATTCGCAAAAATGCATAATTCATTCAGTGTTTTGCCGCGCAAAATTATGACGAGGTTGGAGTCAGGGGCGCGCCCTGTCGGATCGGCTCGCTGCCATTTCCACTAGTTTGGACGGGGAAGGAGAGGCGGAAGGGAAGGGGAGGGGGTGCCCCACCCTCATTGTGCTAATGCTATAATTGTATCGATTAACATGGGGCGGGCACAGTCTGCAATCAGACCGCTGCTGACAGCACTCACGGGCATTATCTCGCCATGCGCTTTTATACGGAAACCATACATTGAGATAGCAAGCACAACGTGTCCTTGTTTTACCTCATCATTTTTTTGCCCCCTTAAAGGAATTCTCCTCGCTTGTTCATTCGTGGAAGGCAAGAAAATAAAAGGTGCTCAGTTTCACCTTTTTGCGAAGGTACTAAATAAAGTTTAGGTTTCATGAAAAAAGCTCAAAAGGTGCCCAAAAGTAATGTGTCCTTGTCTCTTTGAATGCCTTTGTGACAGCATTAACTCACTAACACATTTTTGAAAGACGCGACTTTAGCACCTCAGTCCCTTTTCAGCGTGTGTGTGTGTACAGCAGACGCATTACACACACTGCCCCCTACACACCACCCCTTTCGTAACAAACTCTTATATCCGGGTGATTCCCCCCCCC